ATGATGAGGTCGAATGGTCATAAACTACTGCGAGACCGTTTCAGGCTGGACATAAGGAAGAATTTCTTTACTGTCCGAGCCCCCAAGGTCTGGAACAGCCTGCCATCGGAGGTGGTTCAAGCACCTACATTGAACACCTTCAAGAGCAAATTGGATGCTTATCTTGCTGGGATCCTATGACCCCAGCTGACTTCCTGCCCTTTGGGCAGGGGGCTGGACTTGATGATCTTCTGAGGTCCCTTCCAGCCCTAACGTCTATGAAATCTATGAAATCTTCCTGTACAAGTAGTGGAGGCCCCCTCAGTGCATTGGAGGTGGGTCCTGGATGGTGTTACCAGAATCAGACCATTCTGGACTCTGGCTGATGGGACTAAAGTGCTTGTCTAACACATGAAGCATCCTTTCTTTCCTGTACCCTGTGGTATGTCCCTAACAAGTCAACCACACTGTCAGTCCAGGGTGAGGGGATGTTCTTCGCAAGTGTGGAGCCTTTTTCTCATTCCCTAGGCTGCATTCCTCGAGGAAGTGGCCATTAACTCCTTGAGCTCCTTTGCTGAACAGTCGATACTCTGGGTTTTCTGCTCAGTGGCCTCCTCTGCTCTTGCTTTAAACCAGCAGTACTCAATCTATAGCCTGCAGACCAGATCTGCCTCCCAAAATGACTGGATCTGGCCCATGCCTCCCCTTCCAATGCCACTGATCCTGTCTACAGCTGGGGGTAAGCTCTCTTCCTCTCTCCCCACCCTTTAGCATTGGCAGCCACCTTCTTCTCCCCTTTCTGTATGTGAGAGGAGTGGTGCCCCACAGTGTAGCCAGGTCACAAGCACCTACCCTGTCTCTCTCAGAGGTTCAGCTCCACTGCTTTAAACCTTTAACCCACACTCCCATTCCTATTTTATCACTTTTGTTTGAAATGTGCTATCCTTAAAGTTCCCTTTGGGCACTCATGTACTCCATACATTTGACATTAGAGCCTTTTGGCCAGCAGTGCCTGTTTAATTTCCTTCCTGTGCCCTGAGCTTTCTTGCGTCAATAGTCAACAACACACACATCTGAGGGCATAGATGGTAGAGTGGGACCAACTGTCTCCATCACCAATACAGAATCCAGGTTTTATAATACTACATCGTAGTATTAATGGGGATGGATCATGGAGTACTTATATATAACATACTTTAGAGAACCAGTTACAAGGAAGTAACTGTTCTTTCTTCAAACGTGTATATGGTATATTCCATTATTTTTGTGATCAAGAAGCAGTAACCTGAAGTAGCATGAAGGTACATGTTTGGAGTCTGCCTGAAGAGAGGCCATCAAACAGTTCTGCCAAAAGAGGCAATCAACTTGAACACCTCTACCAGGGGAGAGTGTCACACAGGTGTGTTCTTGCTACTGCAGAATCAAATCCAGAACAGGGCCCCATCACCCTTTTTAATATGAGTAAAAGAATTACACATATAAAAAATTTCCCTCACCTTTATTAAAATAGTAATATATTTAGCTCTCAGAATAAAAATGTATTTCATCTCCTGTTGCAATAGCCTCTTCTAAAAGAAGTCCCTGAAAAGGAGTGTAAGGAGGGAGATGGTATAACTCAAGTATTTCATTTGGATTATTTCTAGGACCTAACAAGCAAAAGGTTACCCAATCTAACTTAGTTTGCCCAGATGCAGACTGTACATTATTTAGGTGGATCTACCTGGAAATAAGGATGTGGAAGGTTAAATGGTTAATTGTTTAACCAATAAGTGCAGTGATAACCAGTTAGCTTACCAGTTATCCTTTACCTTTGGGTGAGCCCAGCCTGGCAGAGAAGGGGAAAAGGGAGGCCACACGGTGCCCGAGCAGGAATCAGAAGGCAGCAGGGCAGGCAGGAGGGAGGGAGAGAGGAGCAAGGAGGTTGGGCGGGGGGGACTAGTACCCATAGTCTAAGAGGAAAACAACAAGCAGCCTAATAACTCATCAGTTAAGCAATTAGCTGCTCGTTCATAGGTGCTTCCTCCTGCCCAGCACAGGGCTTCACCTGTGCTGTGGTCTGGGCTTGCTTCCTCCCTTCTTTACCCCAGTCAAAGGGCCCTGGAAGCAGATCCCTACAGCAGCTGTGTGAGAGCTGCTGCGTTATCAGTTAATCATTTAATTGATATAACTAAAGGTTAAATTAATAATTAGAGAAGGTTAAATGAAAATGGGTGTTTGTGCCCAAAAAAATCATAGAAATTAAGGGCTGGAAGGGACCTCAAAAGATAGAGGCCAACCCCACCTGCTCTGGGCAGGCAAAGAACAATTTTTCCAACTATTTAGTTGGTCTAATAAAATATATCAAATCTACCTGAAGAACCCATCTGCCTATTTTTGTAAATGATATTTACATCTCTACTTGTGAACTGTACAAAGGTTCAGGGCAGTTAGATCAGTCTAAAAGTGGCCAACCCAATCTAAGTTAAGTGTACCTCCAGGGTAGTCTAACAGCTCTGGTCTGGCGAGGCTGATTGAACTGAACTTTGGTTCCATAGTTCCCAGTGCAGCTCCAGATCTAGAAAAACCCAACTGCTGGCCCCAGTCCCAGGGGCTGCACTTTTCCTACCCACTCCTGGCACTTGGCTTTTAGCCCCACCCTCGCACCCCATCCCCAGATGGACAGCACCCCCATCCGTGGACCAGTCAGTCCTCCCCAGCCCACCAAACTGCCCAACCCACTCCTGGTGCTAGCTTTATCAATGTTCACCAATACCAGAAGCCAAGGAAGTAAGTCCCAGTGGGGGAAAGGGCAAAAGGAATAGGGAGTTAGGTTCACTTGAGGGGGGCAGTTTGTCTGGGGGTGGGGGCAATCAGGGGGCTAAAAATAGATCTTGGTCCCAGAGGGTGGGGGAAGACAGCCCCCCCATTACCCCACGTTCTCCTGCAGACCCTGCAAGCCCCCCAGTGCCACCAACCTCCCTATGGACCATGCCTGCTCCCCAATCTTCCCTGCAGACTCTGCCTCCCCCCTGCCCCTGCAATCCTCCCCATGGATCTCTTCCACTGCATCTTGAAGATAAGACTATTCCTCCCCTAATGGAAGTGACAGTTTAGTGAGACTTCTAGTGGTCAGTCTGAGCGCTTCTTTCATTGGTACCATAAAGACAGTGCTGAAGAAATATGTACGCTGTAGGAATGTTCATTCCTGCTAATAATTGCAGTGATTCAGTAAAAGAAAAAGTCTTCAGTAAAAGTCACTGCTGGATCTCCTGGCACTGGAAATTCTGGCATTGATATGGTTAGTATCACAAGCAGAATTTTAAGTCAACACTTCTGCTTTGTTCCTTATGCCTTCAGGGCGCAGGTTAGAGATGTGGCTGAAAGACACACTGCTTGCCAAAAGATACTGATCCCAAAGTCATGGGACAGGTGCCCACCAAGAACCAGATTCAATCCCACCTATTAGGTATCTAAGTAGATTCTATTCCACCCTGTTTGAGTCCCTGAAAATCCATCAGTGCATCTAATTTGTAACATACCATCCTTTTGCCCTTAAGATTGAAATCACAAAAAGCAGTGAGAAGAAAAAGGACACACCCAATTTTTACATTAACTGTTCTTCAGGAACTCAAGCAGGGAGGATCAGAATCACATTTCGGCACCTAAATCTACTTTTATGGAATGCAATTTATTCTACATAAATAATAAATAAATAGAATTTATTGATGAAAAATACATCAAGGTTCTGAGGCTTCTCCAAGACCAGATGACTGTGATGGTTCTTTGTAGCAGATCAGAGACAGATCCTTTTGTCATCCACATGGGAGTCAAGCAAAGATGTGTCTCATTACCCCAGTTCTATTCTCCATTTTTTGACTGTCATTCTGGCTCTCATCAAGGGCCACCTCCCTTCCAGAACTGACACTGAATACTGAACAGATGGAGGGCTCTTCAACCTGGGACTTTTTCACTCAAAGACGAAAGTATTCAAAACAACCACCCTTGACCTTCACTAAAGACTGAATCATCCTTGCACATGCTGAGGAAAACTTCCAGACCATGCTGGGTCTCTTTGCAGAAGCCTACCAAGCTGTGGATGTCTCTCTCAACATGGAGAAAATGGAAGTGCTCTATAAGCCTGTCATACTGTGAATATGACTGCCCTCTCCTCAAACTACAAATCGAGGAGGTAGTGCTAGAGGTAGTCAAGCACTTCCCTTGCCTTCGTAGCCAACTGTTTCAGAGAGTGAACATTGATAAGGAGATCAAGTACAGGACCCATTGTGCAAGCACCTCCTTTGGGAAATTGCTTTGATGTGTTTTTATTGATTACGATCTCCATAAAGACATCAAGATCCAGGTTTACAATGTAGTCATCATCCCCACTCTCCTTTACAGATGTGAAACAAAGGTGACCTACTGCTGTCATCTCAGACTTCTGTGACTATCACCCATGATACCTCTGGAAAATCCTCCACATTAAATGGGAAGACTGCATCAGAGATGCTAGTATCCCTGTTGAAGCCAATGTTACCAGCATTGAGTCAGTAA